TCTCTTCATTTTTCTTTTCTTCGTAAAATGTCGACCTGTGAGAGTTCAAGCCAACCTCAACTGCAGAAGTGCATCCATTCCGTAGACCATATGAAATGAAGATTGACCCGTTGAGCTTCTCGGAGTCGTCCTGTAATCCCATAGGATTGTCGTCAACTCGTTCACCCAGGCTCCTAACGCCTTCTCCAATCTTTTCTTCAACCCTTGGAGAATGGTTCTATTTGTCTCGACTTGACCGTTCGCCTTAGGATGTGCAACTGAGGCAAATCGTTGCTTAATCCCCATGTCGAGACACCATGCTTGAATTCGCTTCCCTTGAAATTGAGTTCCGATATCTGAGATCAGCACTTTCGAGATTCCAAATCGAAAACAAATGTTATTGAACATGAATTGTATCATCTTCTCCTCGGTGATTCGCGCCACGGGTTACGCCTCGACCCACTTGCTGATGTAGTCGACTGCGACCACTAGGAACTTTCTTTGTCCTGTTGCCATCGGCAACGGGCCCACCAAGTCGATTCCCCATTGAGCAAAGGGGATTGGAGAGTTGATTGTTGTCATGTATTCGGCTGGGATGTGAGTGATTTGTCCATGGCGTTGGCATTTTTCGCATTTCTGGACCAACTGTTCCACCATTGTTCGAATCTTAGGCCAATTGTAGCCTGCTCGCAAGGCTTTTCCAGCTACGGCTCGAGGTCCTACGTGTGCCCCACAACATCCTTCATGAATTTCTCTTAGAACATGAATTCCTTCTTCCTCGGAAACGCATCGTAGATGGGGCCCGATCATCGACTTCTTGTATAAGATCCCATCGACTTCAAAATATTTGCTTAGGTATCGAGTAACTTTTTCCGCCTCTTGTTTGTTTCCTGTAGGTACTCGACCTTGCAAGAGTTCATGAATCAACTTTATCCAATCGTCTTTCTCGTCGACTTTCATTGTTTCGCCTAGGACACTTCCTTCTAAGTGCATGGTTGTAATGCGATTGCCCATCTTCCCTTCATTTGAGCTTGCGATTCTCGCCAACCAGTCGGCTCGTTTGTTTTCCTCTCGTGGGACTTGCGTTATCTCAAATTTCTCCAGACTTTGCACAAGGCTTTGAATTTCTTCGACATATTTCAACATTCGTTCCTCTTTGACTTCACAATTTCCCAACACTTGTCCCACGACGAGCTGTGAATCAGAATGTGCAACGACTTCAGTTGCTCCACTATTAATAGCGAGTTGAATTCCTTTGATAAGTGTTCATATTCTGCTTCATTGTTTGAGGCTTTGAACCCTATTCTGATAGCAAAGTCGAGTTGCTCGCAATCCAGATCCTTTGGCCGCAGAGGACCCGTCGACATGCATCATCCACTTCTTTTCTTCCCCCTTAGTGCATTCTTGGACGGAATCTGCTAAAGCTTGAGCCTTTATGGCTCGTCTGGGCTCATACTTGATGGAATATTCGCTCAACTCGACTGCCCACTTCACAAGCCAACCTAAGACAGTAGGTCGACCCAAGGTTTCTCAGAGTTGAAAGTTTGTCCTCACGACTATTGTATGATTCAAAAAATACGGCTTCAACTTTCTAGCCGTTATAACCAACGTCAAAGCAGCTTTCTCGACTTCGGAGTATCTCGTCTCTGCGCCCTGGAGTACTCGACTGGTGTAATAAATCGGCTGTTGGGAACCTCTCTCTTCTCGAAGCAGCACTGAACTTAAAGAGACAACACCCACCGAGATGTACAACACCAACTCGTCGCCAGATTCGGGCTTTGTCAATAAGGACAACTCGCTCAAAAATTCTTTCAACTTTTCAAATGTCATTTGTGCCTCGTCACTCCACAAGAAAGTCGTCTTCTTCTTGAGCAATCTGAAGAAAGAAAAACTTCTATCGGCCGCTCGAGCAATGAATCTGCTCAACCCTGCAATCCTTCCCGTCAGGACTTGTACTTCTCTTATGTTTCTCGGTGGGACCATGTCGAGTATGGCTTTCACCTTATCCTTGTTTACCTCAATTCCTCGTTCTGTGACGACGTACCCTAGAAATCGCCCTGCCTTTACTCCAAAAGCGCATTTGTTTGGGTTCAACTTCATCCCAAACGCTCTAAGGGTTTTGAATGTTTCCTTAAATCGTCCGGGTGTGAAGTCGAAGATTTGCTCTTCACCAGGATGTCGTCGACGTATACTTCCATGTTTCGCCCAATCTGAAGTTTGAACATGCGATCCATCAATCTTTGGTAAGTCGCCCTTGCATTCTTGAGTCCAAAGGGCATGATGACATAACAGTATGTCCCTTTGCTCGTCACGAAGCTCACCTTACTTTGATCCTCGGGGCCAAGGGAATTTGATGATGCCCTTGGGATGCATCCATCATACTCAGCAACTCGGAGCCAGCCGTGGAGTCGACTAGCTGATCAATTCTCGGTAAGGGATAGTGATCTTTTGGGCACGCCAGGTTCAAGTCGAGGAAGTCGATGCACATGCACCATTTGTTTAATGCTTTCCTCACCATCACTGTGCTGGATATCCATTCGGGGAATTGGATTTCTTTGACATGTTTAGCTTTCAGCAACTTATCCACCTCGACTTCAATTGCTTTGTCGATTTCAGCTCCATGATGCCTGAGTCGTTGCTTCACAGGCTTTCTGAGGGGGTCGACATTGAGTTTGTGTGCCATGACTTTCGGGTCGATTCCCGTCAACTCCTCAGGGGAGAAGGCAAATATGTCCCTGAATTCCTTCAATAACTCCACCAACTGTTTTCGCAACTTGTCCTCCAACTCTCTCCCGACTTTGGTAGTTTGATCTTCCCTCTCTCCGATTTGGATCTCCATCAGTTCTTCGTGTGGCTCAAGATCACTCCTTCTCGGCCTCTTTTCACTCGACATAGGCTTTTTTCCTTCCTTTATTTTAGCTCGTTGATTGGTTTTCACCGCAAATTGATAACACGTTCTAGACAGCTTCTGGTCCCCTCGAGCCTCTCCCACTCAATCTCCGACGGGGAATTTCAGTTTCATGTGGTAAGTCGACACCACTGCTTGGAAAGCGTTGAGCGCTGGCCTCCCTAAGATTACGTTGTAAGTTGATTCGACGTCGACCACCACGAATCTCACCATCTTCACTTTCCTCAAGTCGCCTTCCCCTAGAACAACAGCGAGCATAGTCTCTCCTAGGGGTGCGACCTCTGATCCATTGAAACCAAAGAGTGACGTGTGTAGAGATGTGAGCTTGATGTCGAGTTCCATCCTTTTGAGACATTCATAGAATATCACATTCACAGAACTCCCTGTGTCGACAAACACCCTTTGCACCTCGTACCCCGACACCTGTGCAGTTATCATCAGAGCATCGTTGTGTGGTTTCTCGACTTCTCTCACGTCAGCAGGCCCAAAGTTCATCACTGGCCCATTTTCCTCGACTTGATGCACCTCGACCTTTGCATATCGGCCTCGAGCTTACGCCTTCCTTGCTCGATTCGAATATCCATCGGTTGAGCCTCCAAATATCATATGAATTACTCCCTTTTTCGGGGGGAGTTCCTCCTTCTCTGGTGATCTCGCCCTCTTGCGAGTTGACCTGTGAGAGGAGACACCATGCAGTGTGGAGCATATACTGTCTTGGAGAATCTGATGAGTATTCATACTAAAGAAGATAGCTGACTTCTGTAGGTTGACTTTCTGTCCAAAGAACAATATGTACTTGTCCAGCTGTGTGAGGAGGGCTGCAGCTTGATCAACACTTACCTTGCAAAAAAAGATGGAGTCATCTGCAAATAGTAAAGTGTGAAAGAGAAGGGCCATTTCTTGATAGCTTCAAGCCCTGCAATTGACCTGATTCTGAGGAAGCAGAGACTAAGGCAGATAGCAGTTCAGCAACAATAATAAAAAGGTACGGGGACAAAAGGTCCCTTTGCCTTATTCCTCTAGACGGTTGCACAAACCCACTAACTGAACCATTGACTTTGAAGGAGTATGTACAAGAAGAAACACAGATCATAATAAGATGAACAAACTCCTGGCTAAAACCCATTTGAATATTGATTTCTTGAGACATAGCCACTCTACTCGATCAAAAGCTTTCATCAGATCCAATTTTAAAACCATAAAGTAGTTCTTCCTAGAAGAATGTCTGTTTAAGAAATGAAAGGCTTCATGTGCAATGATTACATTATCAAGTAACTGCCTCCCTTTGATGAAAGCAGATTGGAAGGCACTAATACAAGCAGTCAAACAGGCTTTCAGCCTTAAAGCAAGGATTTTTAGAGGATTTTATGTACAACTGTACAGAGACTGATTGGCCGGAATTGAGAGAGTGTTTCAGGGTTCAGTTGTTTAGGCACAAGTGTGACAATAGTGTGGTTCCAATATTTAAGGAGCATTCCATTACTGAAAAAACTTGATATTGCAGAAGTAAGATCAAGTTTTATGAGGTGCCAGAATTTTGAAAGAACAAAGTTGTCATACCTTCTTCACCGGGGGTCTTGTCTGGACTGAGGCCAAAGAGTGCTTCTTTAGTTTCATCTTCACCGGGGGTCTTGTCTGGACTGAGGCCAGACTCCTCCACTATTCAGTTCTGGTAATAGAGCATGTAATTAGATAGACAAAGATACCCCAAGAAGAGGTGCCATTGTGAATAGAAAATTCCACTGCTATATAGAAGTCCTTGAGAAAACTATGCAAAATATGCACATCCTAACTTCCTGACATCTGAATTCACAAACATTGATGGTTTTTTT